AAAAAAAAAAGCAAAGTAAAGAATAGTGCATAGAGTGTAGTACCATTTGTGTGAGTCATGGAAGAAAGATCATATATTTGAGTTTGTTTACACACACAAAGTATCTCTGAAAAAATACAATGCAACTCTAAAATAATATTTGGAGACCTTAATATCTCAGTTTCAATAATGGATAAACCACTAGATAGAAGATCAGTAAGGAAATCGAGCACCTGAACACTATAAAATAATTAAACCTAATAGACAGATACGGAACACTCAACCTGACAACAGCAAAATATATATTTTTCTTAAGTATGGAACATTCTCAAGGACAGACCAAATGTTAGGCCAGACAATTCTCATAAATGTTAAAGCCGCAGACCAATACATCTTATGAATTTAGATGCAAAAATGTGAAAAAAAAATGTGCAAAAATGTACAAAAAAATACTAAATCCAACAACATTATTAAAAGAATTATACATTATGACGAAGTGCGATCAACCCCGGAATGCAAGGGTGGTTCAACACATGAAAAATCAAGAACATATTATACTACATCAAGAGAACGAAGGGATAAAAATCATCTCAATGCAGAAAAAGTATTGACAAAATTCAATACCCTTTTTTGATAAGAATATTGCAAACTAGGAACAGAAGAAAATATTCTTAATATGATAAAGGGCATTTATGAAAAACCCACAGCCAGTATCATACTCCATGGTGAAAGACTAAAAGTTTTCCCCATAAAATCAGGAAGAAGACAACAATATCTGCTTTCTCAAAATACCTCTATTCACCATTGTACGGTAAGTCCTAGCCAGAGCAATTAAGCAAGAGGAAGAAATAAAAGCCATCAAAATTGGAAAGGACAAAGCAAAACTCTATTTGCAGATAATGTTATTCTAGATAAAGAAAATCACATAGAATCCACCAAAACCTACTAGAACTAATAAACTAATTCAGGAAAGTTATAAGGTATGAAATCACCACAGAAATATCATTTCTGTTTCTATAAATGAGCAATGAATAATCTGAAAGGAAATTAAGGGAAAAATTCCATTTATAATACCGTCCAAAACAATGAAACATCTAGGAACAAGTTAAACAAGGAGGTGAAAGACTTGTACACAGAAAATGAGAAAATATTGCTGAAAGCAATTAAAGACATAGATAAATAAAAAGAATTCCATGTTCATGAATTAGAAGAATTACTGCTGTTAGAATAGCAGTACTCTCTAAAGTGATCTATAAATTCAGTGCAAGCCCTATCAAAATTCCAATGACCTTTACTGCAGAAATGAAAGTGGAGTATCAAATTCCTACGGAACTGCAAGGGGCTTAGTACAAAGCTACAATAATCAGAATAGTGTGGCTGGTACAGGCATAGAGATAAGCATAAAAGACCAAAAGAATTGGTCTCACAGAACTGAGAGTCTAGAAATAAATCCAAACATCTGCAGACAAATGATTTTTGACAATGATGCCATAACTATTCAGTGGGGAAACATTTCAACAAATCGTGCTGGGACAACTGGATAATCACACGAAAAGAATAAAACTGGATCCCTGCCTCACTCCATATATAAATATAAAATGGATTAATGACCTAAATCTAAGAGCTAAAGCTATAAAACTATTAGAAGGAAGCACAGGGATAAATAAATCTTCCTGACCTCTGACTTGTCAATAGATTCTTAAATTTGATACCAAAAACACAAGCAACAAAAGAAAAAATAAATAAATCAGACTTAATAAAAATGAAAAACATTTGTCCATCAAAGGACATTATCAAAAATGTGAAAAGACAACCTACCAAATGGAAGGAAATACTGCAAATCATATAAAAGGGTTTAATATCCAGAATTGTTCTTACCCCTATGACTCAAAAGCAAAGACAAACAACCCAATTAAAAAATGGGCAAAAGACTTAATAAAATATACTAGAAACTAATAATATTTATTGCATGTGAGATGGTGGCTCAGGGAGAGGGGAAGAGTTTTTGTTGTTTATCCTCTTACATTTAAAAAGATGTTAAACCTGGTGAATATATTACTTAATCAAAACCTTAAATCCTCTTTCTAATTAAGCAGCTAGGATATTATTATGACCAATCAGTTTACTGAAGGACGTTTTAATTGTATTTGCATACCAACAAAAAGGCTTATACTGAAAGAGATTATATAAAAACTTGAGAAATAAGAAAAATCAAAATATCTTTTAATCACAAGACCTTTTTAAAAATATATATTTAAGGAATTAAGATGAAATATTAAATAAAAATAATCTAATATCAAAGGATGAAATGAAATAAAAGTTTTGTCCTTTCATGCCCTGGGATTGGTTTCAAACCAAACCAAAATAAACTTCATTATTTACCAATTTAATTTCAAGAAAATACAACTTTTGATACAAATGGTAAATTTTCTGATAGAATAACGTACAAATAATTATACAGATAAACGATCACTTCTTCATGAAATTATACGTATATATTTTTTAAATACAAAAACTAAGGTCAGCCAGAAAAGTAAACATCATACCACAAACAAAATATGTATGTATAAATACATATGCTTAACATATATATTTATATATAATGTATCTGATTACTGATGATGCAAATTCATAAATACTTCATGCAGTACAATCAGATTTTAGTGGTAGAGTCTTTTATGATAAAAAAAGGGAAAATTAAAATAAAAAAGGCTTAAACTGCATCTCATAACAATTAGGCTTCTGTGATATTTTAAAGATTATATTAAGGAAATATAGTAAAAGGGATGCAAACATTAATGCATTGCATTGATTATGTTACAAGCTAAAAAAGGAAAAGAAGCTCAAACACCATTCTGCCAGGCAGAACTGCAAAACAATCTGAAATTGGACACTGATCCTTCAAGATACAGAAAATTTTCCACATGTATTAATATCTCACCACTATTTTTATATATTAGGTAAAATAAAACCACCAGTAAGAAAACAGTCTTTTAAATCTTTTTTTAAATCCAAAACACCTATAGGAATAAACGTTTTTAATATGTTTTACATGTAAGTCTCTACATGTAAGTCTTCTTGAGGATCAGTACAAATTTCTTGTGCTAAACAAATAATTAAGAATAAGCTTTATATGGTTTTGCCAATGCATTGTGTACCTATCATACTGTAGGTCCCATGGATTATGATTGAAATCAGTGGTAAATATTAAGAAGATGATAGAAGAAACTTATAGGATACATTCTAAAATATTCTTAACCTGTTTTTTTATTTTAAAAAATGCTGTGAACTGGAAGTCGAATAATTCATAAACTGAATTATTCAAGTAAATTATTAAACTTGATTACAAAGAAATCATCCACTGGCATTTAAATTAGATAACAGTAACTTTTTATTAGTCTTTTCTTGGTTAAATAGAACTCTAAAGATAATTCTCTACAGTGTGGCTCACAACAAAGGCTAAGTGTGCTAAAATATATTGGCTGCTATAGTTTGGATATTTTAAGCATGTGTCAATAACAAGTTAGCTACAAGAAAAACAAAAGAAGGTACTTTCAAAAGTTACTGTAGTCAATGCTATAACTATCCTATCATCATAAGACAAGTATAATTATTGACAAATATAATAAAACTAACAATAGGTAACTACGAGTACATTTAGGAAAAAAGTTACATCATTAGTCCCAGTTAATTTTCAACACACAGGGTCTATTTTTGTAGACATATTAAGCATATCGTATCGAGGGCATAGATCAAATAAATTAGTTAAAAAACGGACAGTATTCATGGCACATAAATGGACCTACAGTAATAGTTAGTGCTGCAGAAGCTAATGATGCTTTAAGCAAAATTGGGAAAACATGAATACCATGCAGTTTTACTGAACTCACCTGACAGAGGTGTAAAACCATTCTCTAGGAGCAGAGATGCATGCACAAAAGTAAGAATATGATTGCAAGTAATAGACTTTAACAAAATAAAAATATAACACTAAACTTCAAAATGACAAAAAATGGACAACACGATGAGATTACTGGGATGAAAACACTTTTATGTGTCTCACCTCTCTCTTTGCCAACAGCACATTAGGAACAATGTGTGGCAGGCAGCGTCCCAGCATTAACATGACACTTTTCTCACTGTCTGCAATCCGAGACACCTAGAAAAACCAAAGAATTAATAAATGATGACAGTATTTATTATGATGACAGTGTAGAACTTCCATGTGTGATGGTACCTGAAGTTCATGCTTTAGACCCTGCCACCTCTGCTCCAAATACACATCCAAAATTCCAACTTATGATGGCAATGATAATAACAAGAACATCACCATCATCAACAATAACTGTGTTCCCAAACAGGATCAACATTTCTGTAAGCCAGAAATGGATCGAAAACACCAGTAAGAAGCAAGGGTGAATCCAAAGAGCCCCACTAGGCTGCAGTTCTGGGAACAAGTAGGGATAACATAGGACTGAGGCAGCCTCAATGATCTTTTTTTTTTATTCTTGAAAAGATGCCCACATTGCTACAATCTATGATTACAGTGATAGTTTATAGAACGAAGCTGCATGCAAGAGGAGGCCCATGGAGGTTGACCCAGTCTTGCAGGGAGGATGGCCAGAGGCCAGAAATGCATCCAAACCAGCCTCTAGCTCTTTCACGTTCTCAATGACATTGTGAAACAGAAGCCTGCGGGAGGTCAAGTGGGATCAACCACAAAACAACCAGAAAGGGAGAAGTGAGTATAAAGATAGAAAAAAATTTTCATGAAATACCCTCTCTCAAGACCAACCTCCCACAATTACAAAGCATTTGAGGAAACCTAATCTGAGGGCTAACAGACCCAGCAATTGAAGATAACCATTACTAATGAAGTAAAAAATAATGGAGTAATCTAAAAATAACTAAAATATAAACAATGTGTACCCTTACATTGGTTTTCTGAATTGTACCAAAGAGAGGCGTATTACCATATGTCAGTAGACATAACAAATTAAAAACAGACTACAGAAAGTCAATTTAATACTAAATAAACTTTAATCCAAAGAACAGAGAAATAATCAACTATCTTCCTTCAAAGTTTAAAATTTTACGAACTATTCTTAGAGCATTATTTTAAAAAATAGATGGGTATTTGAAATAGTCTTATCACAGTTGCTTTTGGATGAGATACTGAAAAGAAAAACCAAGTGTTTTAATAAAGTTCCAAGACAAAAATGGTATAATTTACCTCTGATCCTAAACGACTATCTGCTGACATTCGACAAAAAGAAAGTAGAGCTTGGTGGAAAGCAGGAGACAATTTCCTAGAAGAAAAATTGGATGAAAAGGGGACAATACCAAATAGTTACCACTGGCATTTAGAAGGTAAGCGGCACATTATAACTCCCATTCCTGCATTAATCCTGCCCCTCAAATGCTGACTAGATTTTTCAGCCACCAATGACTTGAAGGACACTTCAGCAGAGAATTCTACAGGGGAAAAAATTAGCAGTCACCGCTGATCTTAAAGTTGTTTGATGTTATGTGAGTGAGCAGCCTGTAAATATCAATGGATCAAACCTGAAGTGTACAGCAGGTCAATGATTATAGAAAGGATTTGCAAAATCTGAAATGGGGACTTTTTTGTCTCCAATTCTCAGTGGTCCCAGAAAGGTAGATAGTGGATACAAGTTGCTGACAGGAATCAAAGTTTTGCAGCCCTATCTAATGATAAAGTGATAAACCTTAATGTTAGAAACCCACATAAAAGAGGGAAAAATTAAAATAAATGAAGCAGAGGTTCAGTCAACATTCAAGGTATTTTGTAAAGAAAGTATTTTTTTGTAATTAAAAACATTAACCTATTCATGTTAAATAAATGAGGTTAAAACATTTATATTTCTAAAAAGACACTAGTTTCTATGTAGTAGTATTCATAAAACATGACTGAGTTGTACTTCACGTGCTCAATCCACAAAGGGATAACACTAAAAGTTACAAAACGGAGCTTATTTAGTATACACTACAAAGTGGCATTCAGTAATTTCTATGATGACAGTTACAGTAGTGTACCAAATTTGAGTCTATTTGCTCATTTATGTTCCTTTTCCCGTATTCTTTCAGGAGACTCTCCCATAATCCATTGAACTGCCCAAGCGAGAAACCACAAATCAGCCTTTATCTCTTCCCTTTCTTTTAACCTCAAATCCAACCAAGCTTTTACCTTTTATCTAAAATTCTACCCGCTTCTTTCTAGTACAAGTCAGTCTTACTCATTTCTTACCTGGATTCTTCCAACGGATGCCCTGTTAGTCTTCTTTCTACCAGTCTTGCTACCTTCCAATCACCTCTACCTCAGACGACTCTCTAAAACTTAGATACCATCATGTCCCATGAGGTAAAATGGCTTATATGTCTTAGTCTCTGCTTAAACCTTACTAGATTCTTCTTAGTTCCCCAAACGTGCGGTATTCTCCTCTCCTCCCTGAGAGGGAACACCCTTCCTCCTACCTCTTTGTCTGGTTAACTCCTACTTGGTTGTTAGGTCTCAGGTTAGACACTTCTTCCCTGAAACCTTTCCTGCTCTGATGACTAGCTTAGGTGCCCTGATTGTGTGTTCCCAAAGCAAGCTGCACTTATATTACTATTTTTCATACTTTATTATGATTGTCTGATTGCTCACCTCTCACACTATAAGGTTTGTGACTGAAGGGGTCGCAGCATGTTTTGCCTTCCACTATATTCCTTGTTGATACCACCTGGCACATAGTTAGTTAAGGGCTAAAAAAATTAGTTGAACAAATTGAACGACCATCTTTCTCTAGGAAGTGGCTTTGGCATATCGAAAGAAACAAATGGAAGTACTCCTAAATACTAAAGAACTACTACAAATGCCATTATGGTTGCATATCATAACAGATTTTTATGACTCTATCTTACCCTACTAGAAAAAAAAATGTACCTTGAGGACTGAGCCATATCTACTTCAACTCTGTAACCTCCCTTATACCTAAAGAAAAAGTATGGCTAGTGGGTATACAAAAGGTTGTGGCTCATCAGTGGAAAGATTTTCTTAAAAAAATAAAATACAAAAATCACATACTTCTTACTAACAATGAGTAAAGTCTAAAAGAAATCAGTCATGCTTTCCTATTATACCCCAATATTAGGTGTAATATCCATCTATTCAATAGGAAGAGGAGGGGCGCCTAGGTGGCTCAGTTAGTTAAGCGTCAGACTCTTGGTTTCAGCTCTGGTCATGATCTCATGGTTCATGAGTTCAAGCCCTGCACTGGGCTCTGTGCTAACAGTGCAGAGCCTGCTTGGGATTCTCTCTCTCTCTTTCTCTCTCTCTGCCCCTCCCTGGCTTGCTTGCTCTCTCTCTCTCTCAAAAATAAATAAATAAACTATAAAAAAAAATAGGGAGAGGAAGCATGACTGTGTGGTTCAGAATACACCATAGGATATTTGTGAGGATTAAATAAATTAGGATACATAAAGAATTTAGAACTGTGCCTAAAATATAAAAAAGAGTATAGTAAATATTCTTTTCTTAAAATGACTTTTTCATATTACAACCTAAAAACATTTTTAATTATATTCTCTCCTCCACTGGAAAACCTGGATCGTAAAAGGGCAGGTGCCATTATTTTCTCATCAAAGTTCAATCACTGAGACCCAACAAAAATTAAATGAATCAAGAGGATATTAATAATACAATATTAGTAATGGGAGCAGACACAGGAGAAAGGACTAGGAGCAGAAACAATTCCCCTATTTACATTGGTAACTGTAATACCAACTGCTCATACTGAGTCTGTTAATGACTGGATAGAGAAAAGTTAAAAACCAACCACTACCAGTGCTTAAAGCATATAGAACATACATATTATTTTATGAGTTTAAGTACTTGGCTAAGATAGAAGCTACCCCATTTATGTTCTAATCCTCTTTAATATAATTTCACTTAGTAATGACTTTGTGATAGGTTTTTTTTTGCTGTTGTTTGGTTTTTTTGAGACATATACTTTGCTATGTGTTCATTTCATGACAAATGTAAAAGCTCATACACGTGACCTGCAAAATAAACAATGAAGCTCCTCCAGTTTGGCAAGAAACAAAATACATGAAAGATGCACTTCAAGACACAGGATGCATACCAACCTATTGGGTTTATCAAAATGGACTGTGTTTTTACTTGATGGAGAAGAAGAGGGCATTTCTTCTCTTTCTCTCCTGGGGAGAGAACTTGGGAAATTCTCCTTAGGAATAGAGGAATCCACTTCATCTGATTTTGAGAGATGGATATCCTTGTCTTTTTCCTTGTCTGAACTATTTATAACTGGATTCTGTCCAGTGTCTTCAGAGTCTTTATGATCCAAAGAAGGCTGAACAGAGTCACAAACCACTGGGATGGCAAAGTGTTCATTTTTGAGGAAGTCCATTTCACTGTAGAAAGAAAGAGAAATTATCAGAGAACAAGTATATTTCTTAAAACTTTGGCAAGAGCATAAACCTCGCAATAGATTTAATTCATTAAACATATAACATATTAATAGAAAATTGGTTGGCAACTGATTAATCTTTTCTGTACCATATACACGAATGCTTCATATACCTAAAAGTATAGCTACAAACTCAATGAAGCATAAAAATGGCCTTATAAACTCTGCTTTGAACTGGCACTTTTCTGTATTTGCAAAATGGGAAAAACTGCATCCAACCCACAGAATTACAAGAAGGATTAATGAGATAATCTGTGGGAAATATTTACAACATTAGTGTGAGGGAGTTATTAATACTGACACAACTAATAAACACTATCTTATTCCTTGATTCCAAGAGTTAATCAATTATACGATTACTACAATTACTTAATAACTTTTGCAGGGGGTGGGGGGAAGAAGATATTAAATATATAAAGCAATTAAAAGACATTTTTTCAGAAGTATTAGAATATGAAAAATTATGTCTTACAACTGAAATGTTATCTTATATATTTATATAATGTGCCAATTTCTTTTAAATCTTTAAGAGATTTTTTAGAAATGATGATTAAGTACTAACCTTTCAAGTCTTCTGATTTGCTCCATCAAAGACCATTTCTCACTATTTAATAAACTAATTTTATCTTCTAATTTCTGTACTAGCAAGGAGTTCTAAAATCAAAATGGGAGAAAAACAGAAACTCAAGATCTCATAGCATGCTTTTACACAGCTTAAAAACTTTTTGTGGACTTGACTAGTTAGTTAGTATTACTCACCTCTACAGTCTGAGGAGTTTCAAGGCTTGGAGGAAGGTTGCCTAAAACTGGTGTAAGAGCCTCTAATTCGTCTTCTTCTACACCACTGGCCACATCCACAAGATCTTTCCCAGTCACCTGATGGTTTCCAAAATCTCGGTAGAGTTGCAGTAAGTCTGGAGGTTTTGGAATGTTTAATCCTACATCATCCCATAGTTCAAAATCCTGAAAGATGAATAATAACAACATTAAAAAAAAAACTATGATGAAATTTTATCCTGCATTTTTGAGATTCATTTTATTCCTTACAGGCTAATATCTTGAAAACCCAACATAATCATAATGTTGTTGTAAGGTCAAAGTGTAAGGTTCAAGTAGGTAAACAACACTGTGAACTTATTTTGCATCTATCTTCCACTGTCTAATATTATTCTTGTAAGTTTCTCGATGTTCTAGGTAAACAGGTTTAACTGTTTTAGATGTCAAATTGTTGCACATTTTATGAAATCTTTTTATGAAATCTCTCAAAAACGTTAACTCTTAACTTTTAAATTGCGTTAATTTTCAACTTATAAAATATACTTAAATATTTGCATGAAATCATAGAACATGTCTATATGAAGAAAATCTTAGTTCATAAATTGTACCCATTATTTACAAGTAAACTCATTGATGGCATTAATTTTGTTCTTCCTTTATTATTCTAAACTACATAAATTTAGTGTAATCTCTGGTGGGTAAGCAAGCAATTTAATCTGCTTGCTTTCTTGTTATAGCTGTTTGAATCTAATTTATATTATTTTTCTTAAAAATTTTTTTTCTAAGTTTATTTATTTATTTTGAGAGAGAGAGAGTGTGCACAAGTGGGGTAGGGGCAGAGAGACAGAGGGAGAGAGAATTCCAAGCAGGCCTTGCAATATTAGCACAGCGCGATGTGCAGCTGGAACTCGTGAACCATGAGATCCTGACCTAAGCAGAGATCAAGAGTTGGATGCTTCATTGACTGAGCCACCCAGGTGCCCCTAATCTAATTTATATTATTAAAAATGCTTTCTACAATTTTCAGAATCCAAATAGCTGCTCTTTGGTTTGCTGTACATAAAGCATTCTCTTGAATTCAGTCTAACACAATTTTATTACTAAAGTACAAAAAGGCATAGCACCTCAAGCATTCTAAGGGCAAAGATTTTTTTGAAGAGCTTTATAAAATTCCAGAGTAATCAATCACATGCAAATATATTGTCCTATCATTCTTTCTCTAATACATCAAAATTTAGTACTAATTTGGTATCTTGTAACTTATTTATTTATAATTTATTTGGGAAACCTTCTTTGAGAAACTATGCCATATTCATCTGAATGTTCTAAATGTGATACTCTTATTCCTTTGAGACTTTATTTGAATGACAATAGCCATTATTGACGTTTAAATCTGAAGCAGATATAAGGCAGGTATTAAAAGTGGGGGCTTTGGAGAAATCAGACTCAAGAAGTATGAAATTCCTGTCTCCATTTATTACTGTTCTAAATTAACTAGAAACTTAAACATATCATCTGTAAAATGGGTATACTTACCTCTGAGGATTTTTGTAAGGATAAAATAAAATGTATATTAAGGTCTTAACACAGTGCTTGGCTTACAACAAGAACTAAACAGATTTAAGCTTTAAAAAAATTATTAAATGACTATTGCACATATGATTCAAATGTCCATTCATCCATCTATATTCAACAAACATTTATTGGATATCTACCAGGTGTTTAGAAAAAGGAATAAAATATTGTTGCCATTCAGGGGCTTTCACCATTCAAGAGTGAGGACATAAAGAAAGTATCATATGTACTATAATTAAAGAACTGTCAAGAATTGAGAGAGGAGAGAGTTTCTATCTTGAGGCAGAAGGAAAGATCTTGGAAAGGTGATGACCTGTGTGCACGCTCATGGAAAAGGTTTAGGTATTTACAAGGCACATGGCAACAAGGGGACAGGGGAACTAATTGTATTTCAGCGACAAGGGGAAAGAACGAACAAAAGCACAAAGCTCCGAAGGAACCAGATATGCTGAGGGGGATGCCAGCCCTTCTGTTTGGCAAGATTATAATAAACAGACAAAAGCTAATTTTGGTGAGGCAGGTGGAGGATAAGCTAAAACAAAAGTTGAGAGTGCTTTGGAGTTTAGAATTGATAAGGAAGGATTTAAAGTAGTAGGCAGGAGATGGCTGACGTGAAAACAGAGCTGTTGAGAAGGCGGAGATCTTAATAAGATGAAATAGAGGTAGTGGGAGCAAGACAGTGACAAAGTGGAGTGTGGCAATGGGAGGATGACCAAAAGAATACTCGACTGTGCGGGTGCACAAGTGTCTGGGAACTAGCATTATAGAAGTTTACTGTATGACTTCTAGAAAACTAAAGAAACTAGGTAAAAAAAGAAAGTAAGTACGTTGTAAGTGAAAAGGAAACAAATCATTGTCAAAAAAAAAAAAAAAAAAAAAAAAAAAAAAAGTAATTGTACCTGATCATCATTTTCATCTGAAAAGGTTATTGATGTAAGCTTGTAGTTATTCTTCAATAAAAATTCATTGACTAAGAAGTTTAGAGCTCTCTTTTCAAGAGGTTTGATTGGTTCCTACAGGCAAAATAAAAGATACAATACTATAAGCGTCCTTCCATCAATAGTTGTGCTACCATTTTATGTGGAAGATACTTTTAGGTCTGTCATTCACCCACCTGAATTTCAGGACTTGATTTGTAATTTTTTCGTTCCTGTAAAGGAACTTCATGTTCTGGTGGAAGAAAATATAAATAATACTTTACTACTTTACATTTGAAAATATCTCAGCTACTTCTACATCGTCAAAGTAGAAAAAGTCTCAAAAAAGTTTTATGTACACCACCTGCAGCCTTTGTCAGGTTGGCTCGGAGGGCCTGAATGGTCTCCTTGGCTTTCCGTAGTTCAAACTCCAGGACTGGACAGGGATTTGGAATAAACACACACAGGCATCCAACCAAGAAAGGGGAAACAAAAATAAAAAAATAAAAAGCAAGGATGGGTATGAAAAAAAAATACAATCTGTATTGAAAACAGAAAGCATGCAATCTTTATGAAATTTGTGAACGCATGCAGCAGAGTTGGTTTGCAAGCAAACTGGTGAATGTTTTCCATAGTTTTAGAATTCAGGGGGATTGTTGATCAAATGTTCTAGCTGTCTGACAAGGAATAGCTCTATTTAAAAATAAAATCTATGGCATACTCTCATTTAGGTAAATAAAAATAGTAGTCATCTGGGTGCTTGTACTTCTCTCACTGGAGGTAAGAAAATGCAACGGAACGTTTTCAGGTGACATAGTTGAGGGGAAAAGACAAAAAACTTAGATCAAGTCCAAGAAAATATACTTAAAAAAAAAAAGTTAAGGGTATTTTTAAATGCATTATATAGAATAATGTTATAAATCAATATACAGAAACATTAGTGAATATATCCCTTCATTAAGATATTGAAGAAATACGGTTTAAATATTTAACAAATGTTGTCATAGCTGTAAGCTTTTCTACCAACAAATGTCTGTTTTCTACAAACAAGCATAGATATGTTAAACACATATCTCAAAAAATGTTCCTATGGGTTTTAGGTTTCATTTAAAGCCAAAGGGTAGAAACAGTTTGTCTTTCAATTTTTATTTAAGACCATTCTAAAGTAAATGTGTTAATTCTAAATGCAGAGTACCTAAGGATACTAAGTAAAATTAGGTAGGATTTCAAAGTTTCTGATAACTCTCCAAATAGATATCTCTTCATGTTAAGAGATACTAACTAATGAAACTCAAAGATTTCTCTTGTTATTGATAAGATAAACATGAATCTGAGGAAACATTTTTAAAAGCTCTTTAAAATGTTTCATCATAGGCAAGATTTAACTATATGTGTCGTTACTGGGAACTGTCTTTAAAATACATAAATATTGCTCTGAAGAAAAAGCAAGCTTAACTGCGGGGGGAGAAGCCATTTCCATGAAGTAAAGCTCTGGGAAAATTAAGTGATCTTTGTCACAACTAGATATTTAAAAATTATAGTATTTAAATAGTTCTGCATAAAATCCAGCAAATTAAAAAATTTAAAGATGGCAAGTTCTTCCTGATTGGCTAATAAACAGAAAAAGAAGATGGCAATGAGATGCTCTCAGAGACAATACAGCTATAAAAATATATGGAAAAATTAGGATTCACTCAGTTTGCATATTTCCATTAAAAACTTAAGATGTAATTGAATCACATCTAGTACATGAAGGCCAATTATTTTGATGCACAGAACTTCACTGCAGCAACATGAAAGCACAACTAAAAGTCAGATGACATGTATGTTACTTCTTTTTTGGTAGTTAGCAATGCTGATCTGCAAACATTTCTGTGCAACAAAGTTAAAACATTTTTCCTAAAACTTACACTTCTGGAAACAGAGTTTGTGTTTAAAATCCGACTGCACACATTCAGTGTGTAAGTACAAAACAGGTTTAATTTCAAAGCTCTAGGTAACTGATTTGGATCTAAAAATACTTAACTATGCCTTAAGTAAAATCAGTAATATGTATTATGCTTTCAGTATCACTTACAATTTACTAAGACATATTACAGAACAATTGCAGATCAGAAATGCCTGCACCAGAATGATAGAAATATGAAAAAAATAAATTAAAAAAAAAAAAGGTTAAAACACAAACTGTGAAAAACTCAAATTCAATTGGTGAAAAGTTTAGGTGACTAAGAGCAAAACATTGAATGATCAAGGCACAGAAAGCCAGAAAAACCCATGTCAGACGGCAAGAATTTATATTTTTATGCACATCTACAAATACATTGCCAAATGTCACTAAAAGTTACCAATGCTTTGAAAAGATAGTGCTTATCAAAATGAATTCACTCTGCTGCATGTTTCTTAATATACAATATAGACTTTGAAAGACAAAGGCATATATATTTGAAGCTATAGGACATTTCTATAAAGGCACAGTATGATCAAGTAATTGCAGTTACATGAGAAAGTTTCACAAGAAAGTCTAAATAGTTATATTTACACATAGACGAATTTGTCTCTTCTTTATTAAAAAACACTGGATTAAAGCTTAAAATTAAATATTCTATAAAGAGATAAATTGTACCAAAAGAGATACATTGTACCAAATAACCTCCAAGTATTTTTCACATATTTTAATTCTTCATAAAAATGTTTGAGGATGTTTATGTTTGTAAACAAACAAACAAACAACAACAACAACAGAAAAACACTGTAGGAACCAACTACCAACCTGCTCACTCCACTATCTCAAATCCTCTACGAGTAGCCTAACCCTACTGAAGGCAACTTTATTGGAACTAAAGTAGTAAGTGCAAAGGTGTAGGTATATTCTAATATTACATATTACAATCTTACCAAAATAATTAATGATTGCCAGTATAAACAACTCTAGAGTGGTTGTAACTGCTATTTACCAACGAGGGTTGGAGTACCGGTATTCTACCAGAGGTATCTGAGTGCTGCAAGATCATGTTCTCATGACTTTACAGAAAGGTAAAATGTTAAATTTCAAAGCAGAAAAAAAAAAAAAATCAATCCTTTGTGGCCCAATCACTGTATCACTATGTATCACAAATATATTGAAATATTTGCTAGTCTAGGATATTTTGGCACAGAACTCAAAATATTATTTTAGAAAATTTTTTCCATAACTCTGATATAACTCTGATCAGAGTCAAGTATTTCTTCATTCCTGTTCCTGTTCATTGTTGAAGAGTCCCAATCAACAGGGCTGAGCCAAGGTCCTTGCCATGGTAGACATGAAACAGTCTTCTTTCAAGTCAGAATTTCCTGGTTTATTTTTTTTTCAAAGAGATTTGACTTCATAATAAAATACCACTTCCCCATTTTTTTAATGTTTATTTATTTTTGAGACAGAGCATGAACAAGGGGAGGGGGGGCAGAAGGAGAGGGAGAGAGAGAATCCCAAGCAGGCTCCATGGTATCAACACAAAGCCGGACATGGGGCTCAAACCCACGAACCGTGAGATCATAACATGCGCCAAAGTTGGACGCTCAACTGACTGAGCCAGGTACCACAACTATTTCCCCATTTTTATTACTTATTTTATTATCCCAGGAACAGTTCTAAGAAATAGGAAAATTCTTTTAAGAATATGAGTTAAAATACAAATCTATTCCTAAAATGATACAAAAATCGTAAGGCAGTACCATCACTACCCCTCCGGGGTTTAGAGAATTCTCCCTGCCTATTATAAACATCAGAAAGGAATACTACTTACTGTTAGGCAAGACTAGTAGATAGTGAAAAATAAATGAATGGAAGCAAGAGGCAATCTCCATAGTTTATAAACATTTAGTTTTCTGTTCATCCTAGTGAGAACCTGCTCAGGTTCTCTCATAGAATCCTCTGTCACTCATCCCAAAGCTGATGTTTTTCAGGGTACTATCTTTGGTCCTTTTCTTACCCTACATACCCCACTGGATTGATATTTACTCTTATGGTTTTAACTGTGACAACTACTCCGAAGATTCAAAAATCTTTAAACCTTTTCCCAAAGATACAGTCCTACCTAATTATCTCGAGGACATGCCCACCTGAATGTCTCATAGGTTTTGAATTTGATTCTATCTAAATGAATTTCATCCTCCTCTCAAATCTGCTCTCCTTCTTCCTCCTGCAGCCTCTCTCCATTAATGGCACCACTATCTATCCAGATGCCCCAACAGGAAACCTGGACATTACTCTTCACTTATCCCTTGTGCTTACTCAGTCCACATTTATTAAATGTCCAAGCCATATTAATTCCAACCCTTGAATAACCCTTTATTTTTTTTTTTTAATTTTTTTTTTCAACGTTTATTTTTTATTTTTGGGACAGAGAGAGACAGAGCATGAACGGGGGAGGGGCAGAGAGAGAGGGAGACAGAGAATCGGAAACAGGCTCCAGGCTCTGAGCCATCAGCCCAGAGCCTGACGCGGGGCTCGAACTCACGGACCGCGAGATCGTGACCTGGCTGAAGTCGGACGCTTAACCAACTGCGCCACCCAGGCGCCCCTGAATAACCCTTTAAAAAGTTATTCACCTCAATTGTCTCTGCAATTGTCCTAGTTCAGACCTTTATGACTTATCATATAAATTACAACACCCTAGGGGTGCCCAGGCGGCTCAGGTCAGTTCAGCATCTAACTCTTGATTTCGGCTCAGGTCATGATCTCACAGTTGGGAGATCAAGTCCCATGTCGGGCTCCGTGCTCATCGTATAGCATACTCGGGATTCTCTCTCTCTGCCCCTCCCCAGCTCGTTCTTCCCTCTCTCTCAAGTAAATAAACTTAAAAAAAATCATAACACCCTATAACCATATTAAAAGCTTGTTGCCTTTAAAGCCTTGTTGGAGCATCTATCCCATTTCAAATCACGCAAAATCATAAAGATTTAAGTAAGGCTCAAAATAAGAAAAACAAAATGTATTACTAATAGGAAGTATAGATATCTGTACCACGAGAGAAATACATAAGAAAGAGACAAATGGGCTTATTTAATCTGGTAAATCTGGATATGTATTCTGCAGGCCAAGAGTTAAGGGATGAGAGGGCTATTGATGCTCCTTCGTCAGGGAACAGGCCAGGTTATTTCCCAGGCAAAAATCAGATCATTTTAGAATGTATACTAGATTATGTAAGCTTTGTAAAGGCTTCAAATGTCTACTTTGTTGGTTATTGTTAACAGAACAGCATAATACCTTGAGTAGAGTAAGCACTCCACAAATATTAGTTGAATGAATGGATATTCAGAGACTCTGATGCTAAAAGACAGATCATGTGAAACTGAGACAGGGTTATCTGTGGTTCCAAAATTAACAAGGTCCTTACCACAGTCTCTAAAGTACTGAATATTTATTTATATTACAGATACGGACATTTTCAGGACCAATTCCTTGACAGCAGAAACTATCTATTTCATGCTTCTATATCTAGTGCCTAACACATAGCAGATGCTTAGAATGTCTAAAATAAACTTTAAAATGGCAGTCTCAACATTTAAAATAGACATGTCCCTTGCTATCTTTAAGAAAACTTGAAAATTTAAGGGGTGAACTGTATACATACTAACACTATATTTCTTTAATAACATACAGAACACTAAGGTTAATAAGCTCATTTTGGTTTGGTGTCTACTACTTTTTAAATCATTTTTATGTGAAAATTTACACTTCCAAATTCAGAAATGGAAAATATTTAAAATGAAAAGCTTTTTAAAAATTTACTTCTTTTAAAAGAAAATGGCTATGTTGAAATCATCTTGTATGGGAAAGACATGATTCTGCTATCCATATGAATGTACAGATGGGTTAAAGTGACAGGCTGATAATAAAAAATATATCGTGGGCTCTGGAATAAAAACTTATGTCCTGATCCTTTATCATACAGAGGCTACTGGGCAAATTTGTTAATCGTGATGAGCCTCAGTTTTCTGATCTATAAAATAAGGATATCATGACCTATTCTTCAGGACTGTTAACAAGATTAAATAAATAGAATATTTTACACAAAACACTCCAGCACAGTGCCTGGCACAGAGCAGATGCTCAAGAAACATTAGTTCATTTTGAGATGTCTTCCTCTTTGAAGAAAACCTATACAGACTTGAAAAAATAACCAGATTTTTAAATTTAGGAAAATGATGGTAAGAATGATGCTGAAAAAACTCAAATCGATACCTGTGTTACCTATAAACTCCTTCTGCCCAAGATGAGTATAGAAAAATTTAATAAAGACATTTCTGTTCTTTCTTAGTGAGGTTTACATGGGATCCAGTCACAGATGACAGAATCTTTTCTGGATTATTGGTCTTTTGATAAGCTTTTTAGTTACTACCAATGATTAGCAAAGAGTCAAAAATCTTTTTGAAAATGGGAATGTGATTAATTGAAACTTTTTCATAAAGTGTCACCCACATATCACATACTAGGTTCAATAATAGGCAATGGTACAAAAGCTAGGTCTAAATGCTACTCTCTTGTAACACATGTTTTCCTTCCCTTTTCCAATGAAGATGAAAGATAGCATTTATTTACATATTAGCACTGTATAATGATCAAAAATTACCTTATCTCCCCAAACCTAGACACAGAGTATAATCTTTAGATTAAAACTACAAGGTCAAAACCACCATGTATTTACAACATTTCATTCTTAGTTATGTTTGGTTATATAACATTTTGCTTTTACATCAATGTTTCCCCTAAACAGAAACACTAAAATACCTAAATAATGAGAATAATAATGAACCCCTTAAATCTGACTAAATCTAAAATTTAGGTTTTCGAAATTAAAGGAAATAAGATAATTATGTGATCAATTTTGGGGTAGGAGTTACTTTCTAATTACATAACCATTTGAACAATAACACAATGTACAAAACCAGATATATTTGATTAGTCTAATAAATGACCATGTATTTAATATTTAATATATAACTGAAAATATCTAACATCTAACATATACTATATAATTATACAACACAATACTTAACAAATACTAAAATAAGTAAGATAAATTAGTCCCCAAAGTATTCAAATAATTTCCATTTAATCTGTTAATTTTAAGATATTACTGATGTGATTTATTGTTTTGATACAACAGTCAATAAATAATGCTTATGACTAAATCATGATTTCACATAGGGAGCCACATTAAACTCTTCCAGTGACTTCCCCCATTCAATTGATATTGCTACTATTTACACTGCTGAATCCTCTTCGCTTCTGCTAAACTGAAAACAGTTTCATCAGTTTTGTTTCCTAAGACATACAATATCATCTGAGATTTAAAATTATTCATTATTTCTATTCTTGAGCAATGAATGAAAATCATATATTGAAATGTCATTTTTAATTAGGTCAAACCTCATTCTTCCTGCTAAGAGGTAGTGTATTGGACAGTCAGTGTGGGCTCTGTTGCTGGGCTATCTGCATTTAAATTCTAGCCCTGCCACTTAAGTCTTATATAATCTCTCTGAGTGTCTTCAGTTTACTGGGGAGGAGAGGATGATGACAACCCTGTAAAGTCAATGAGTTAATACACATTTAGAACAGTGATTAGAATAGAGCAAGTGCTACATAAAAACTGGCACTCACTTTTATTCATAATGACCGTGAAAGGTAAATATTTGGTAGATCGTAATAAACTTCTCACAGTAAATGGAAGAAAAATTCAACAGAGTTGGTCTAGAAAGGAACCCTCATTATGGGTATTCCCTGACATTATGGATATTCCCTGATCCCACACTGCCCCCATGGGCTCCATCTGTCCCATGTGGCATCCCTCTTGTACCAGGAGGGTTCACCATTCTGGTGGAGAGCAAAATACCTACCTGATGTCTGTCTGCTTCCCCCATCTAAGAACCAATGTTCTACGAAAACTACAATTCCTATAAAGCACTCAAGAATGACTTCAATTACAGATAGCCACAGCTTTGAGGCACCTGACAGGTACCAGCTATTTGGACGCTAAAGGAGCCAAGCCTGCTACATTGGTAATTTTCTGGATGGACCCCGACCAGAATCCTACTGGCTTCATTAGATGAGGGCAGAACACAGTGAGTACAAATTGGTCTTCTGAAGTTCTTACAGATACAATGGTGCTGCCTAGAAGGCAGAACTGATGGGAAGGTGGAGATGGGAAGGAGACTGGTATGAATAACCAAGCATTTAGAAAGAGTGTTGGTCTTCTTATTGGAATAAACAAGGTCCTGGAGGTCTCTGCTGTGCCACATATTAACCCTTTATTTTCTGGCACAGAGGAAGGTCAAGGGAAATTTCTGGAGGGATGCTGTGAAGACTAAGGAGCATTTACACGTCTCAAGACAAAGTTTTATTGACCAACCAGCACGGAAGTATTTCAACCAATTTTCACAGTCAGTAGTGTTGTGTTGATATGTAACACCTAAATATCAGCTCTGGTTTGGAAGATCAAAGGAAACGGTTTTACACCAGTTAGAGAAGTACATGGTTGTCAACTGTTGCCCATAAACAGAACTAAGCAAATTTTAGGTATGCATAACCAGAAATGCACAGCAAGACTGGGAGAGGAAGCTGGGGATTAGGATGTTCCCTATAGCCAATAAATCAGTGACATAACTTTGGTATTACCTTTTATAATTATATTCATATACCAAACTGTAGAAGGAAGAGAATTCCTCAAGTCATTTTATTATTTCTTGAATGTGAAAGAATCCAAATCTGTCTTTACAATGTTACTCACCTGCCACTCTTTCATCTGTTTCCCTGTTCCCATCATCTGAGTATCTTGCAAAGTCTAAAGAATCAAGAGTACTGATGCTCCCAGCTCGATCTGTAATAATGAGAAAAATAAAAGAAATTTATTTTTATTTAATTGTCAAGATAAAACACTAGAAATCACTTACCTATGATTATTATCAGTTAATAAAACTATGATTCTAAATTCTATTAAAACAGGGACGCCTGGGTGGCTCAGTTGGTTGAGCATCCAACTCCTGATTTCTGCTAGGGCCATGGGATCGAGCCCCATGTCAGGCTCCACATGTGGAGCTTAAAGTCAATCTCTCTCTCTCT